ACTTATCATAGTTGTATACCAGTTCAGTGGTAGTTTGTGGACAAAAGTTGAAGTATAAAAATACAGGAAGTAGTACTGAGTTCAAAAGACTCTGTCATCAACACTGCAGTCCATCCAAAATGTGGAGGCAATTTACATATAAGCAAATTGTCATTTAACAAAACAAAGGTGAAGTTATTTGTTTTTATGAGTCTAATCATAACTAGTGTGCAGTTTAGCCCTTCTTAAAATTTAGATTTCTAGGTTACAGTTATGGAATTATTTCTAATACGTAAATGTAATTTCTGTGTCTTGTATCTACCAGTAAGTAAAATGATGAATTTCAACAAAATTTTAAAAACTAGAATTTTTATAACTAGGCAACATTTTCAACTAAAATATAATAATCATTATTTTACCCATGTTTTTGTGAAATGTGTAGTTTAACCTGTCATATGCACTTTAAAGGGTCCATATTACACTGTTTTCTGTTCTATGTTAATGTTGGTTTCTTATCAACAACATAGCCACACGTGTTTTGTTTCATTCACACATGTGAATCTATCTAATCTATTTAGGCTGAGTTCTTCTCTCAGAAAGAAAACACTCCATTCCACCTTGCGATGTCATGTGGTAATATAGGAAATGCTCCATTCACTGTGTTTTTAAACTCCATACACCCTTACTAAAATCAATTAAGCCCTGGAATTGCTCATCTCTATTGAATAAAGGTAAAAGGCAGTTATTAACTCGAAAACTGCTGCTGCATGACATCACAATGTGGAACAGAGCATTCTGAGCTTTAGAGATGTATACAAAGTAAAAATTAATTATTGCATGTGTGAATGAAACAAAACAAAACAAAACAAAAACTCCAGGTATGTTTTTGATGAAGTAACATCATAACATGGCTTAAAGCTCAAGAATAATTTTTGCATAATAAAGGACTTTTAATTTTGCATCAAAACACATTGAAGCCTGTTATCCTCCCAGGTAGATGTACTCACTGTAGCCTTATGCTGCCAGCCTCACCATGCTCTCTTCTTCCCTTGAGTGGTGCTTGAGACTCTCTGTGCTGTTCTTTCATTTGGCCTGTCCTGTCCACAGCACAAGTACATGTTGTTAGTGCTTCTGGGATAGTGCTGTGGGGATCGGCTCAAAGCCTTTAGTAAGAGCTTTGAAAACAACACATCACTTTCAAAGAAGCATCACCTGTGAGTAGCCTTTTAGAGATATGTTTTAATATAACATTACGTTGGCTTATATTGTTTTATTCCAAGCAGTTGCCTACTGATCAAGACTCATCAGCAAAATTAATCAAATTACTAAAAGTCTTAAAACATTCCAATAAGATCACTTTTGAAATCACTAGGGAAAAAGGCTAATGCTGTTTGCTAAAAGGCTAATGCTAATTGCTAGCTAATTTGTTTGGTATTTGACAAAGCTTTATTCTTCTTATTTGCGATCTGACATTAACTGCTAGCTAAACCAAACATGCTTTGCCTTTATCAGCAGCATATTAGAAAAAGGCATGTATACATCACCAATATCATGATAGGGAAATCGCACAAGGTTTTAACAACTTCCCTCACTGACTAATGCTGATGAGGGGTCACAAAGTTACGAGGGCATTTCCAGGTGCGCATTTCTTTCTCCGGGAGCTAATTATTGAAATAGTCCATAATGCACCTTTTAGCACCTTTTAAATGTATGGACATGGCTTACACTGTCTTGTCTCGCCCAATGTGGCATTCATGTCTCATGTTCATGTATTTATTTTTAGGTTTTTTTGTCTAACTACGGAGCCCCGCACTAAGCAACGTGAGGTTTTTTTTTTGTTTGTTTATTGTTTTGTGTGTGTGTGTGTGTGTGTGTGTGTGTGTGGGTGTGTGGGTGTGTGGGTGTGTGGGTGTGTGCGCGTGTGTGTGTCAAGCAGGTCTTTGAGCAATGTTTTAAGACACATTTACTCCTTTACATCAGGGAGCAATAATTTACGCGCAAAAAGACCCAACAGAATGACCCTTGATATGGATTTGTGAAGTAACATTGATAAAGTTATATTTCTGCCACCCAATAGGCACTCTTTATCCAATGCGTCAATGCAGATGTGAAGGGAGAGGGACCTTTCAATTAGCCAAGCCTATGTAATTGCATTATAAAGGCAAGTATGCAACTTTTAGGCAAAAATTTTATTTAAAAAAAAAAAAAAAAAAAAAAAAAAAGGGCATGTTTGTGTGTTGTTTACTTCATTTAAAAACTTGCATCTCCACAAACCTGACTCTTATCTGCCCTCATCCTTGTTTCCATGGAAATGCTGTTTCTTTGGTTCTAATGTTCCACAGTATGACTCAAAAACTTACCTATCACCATTTCCAATGTGTGCTCAAGTATAGTTTTATCTTTCTATTTCCATGGAATCATGTAGTGGCGTACCTCCTCCTTAAAGTTGCATACTGTGCCTTTAACATTTTGGTGAGAAAACTTGAATAATTCAAAACTGACATTCAAAAGATAAGAATGTTTATATTTGTGTTCAAGGCTGAAGTTACAGGATTCAGTTACCAAAAATATCTTTTTCTCAGTTGCAGTGAAATGTATTCCTACTCTTATCCTCTCTGGGCACATAAGAGGGTTTGTGTCTACTCCAAAGTATCTAGAAGAATTTGAAATCAGTTTGATACCCCTCCCATGAATTAATGGCCTAGATACACCACTGTCTCATGGTAGTTAAAAGTCTATATGAATCTTTATGCATAAGCACAGAGGTAGTCACGTAGGTCTACTGTATAAGACATGCATTGCATTATAACGTGTAGATTATGGGATTGTAAATGTCCCTAGGTGTAAAGATCATTGCAAGCTTATTCTCCACCTCCAACTGTATAGGGATTAGACATATATAGCACAATCCACTCCTTCTATGGGGCAAAATGGGCAGCTAACAGGCACGACCACTCTAAGTATGTGTAACCAATCAGCTTTTTGCTATTGCCTGAGCAGGCTGTCCCTCGAGGCTTGTTGATCCAGGTAAAGAAAAGGCGAAGTCCTCCTCTCCCCCCAGGGTCTGTAATACCTGCATGATGAGAGCCATAGTGGTCCCAGCTGCAACGGCCACATCCAGCCTCTTCCTCGCTATCTCAGAGTGCACCACATGGGAGACAGGCTCCACAAAGCAGCCAATGGGAAGCACCAAAGCCCTTTAGAGCCCCCTGCTGTGCTTAGTGGCACACAGCAGTCAGCATCACACAGCACATTCATGGATTTCAGCTTCTTGTTATAGGTGACATTTTGAGGACATTTTTTCATCCTTCAACAACATCAGAACGGCTTCGGGGTTGTGGCGAATTTGATGATATTCCAACTCGTGTACTAGAATGTGATGTGGTAATGTAATAAGAATGGATAAAGGTGTGTCACTAGAATTTATTTTTTTTTTTTTTTACTTTATACTTCAGAGTACATGCATATTGCAATGTTAATTGTTATTTTGTATTCAATGGAAGCACCATGTATATCTCCTTTTTTATTATTATTTTCAAAGCAAATCAGACACATGAACATTTTTTGGTCCCAGCTATAATTTAAGTATCTGGCAAAAAAGCAAATAAAAAACAAACAATGAAATCAAATGTCATGTTTGATGCATTTTGCATCAAATATATTGCTGAGGAAACATTACTTTACTGCTTTATTCATTTTTCATAGAAAATCTTAAAATGTGGGTGGTTTAAAGTTGAGAGAATTTGAGTCTTACAGCACAAGTCTGTGATGCAGACAAGCAACAAGACCCACGGTTCACAAATGATTTTGTTTCATTTGTTTTATTGCTCTAATGAGATTCTTCATCACCAAGCAGTTTGTATCAAATAAGCCTGAAATGAAAAGTTTGAGATTTCCAAATTGATGCATGAACAAAACGATATAAAAAATAACCTCATTAAGTTGGCAAAACAATGTGCTTGGATTTTAATGATCTTTCCTTGCTGTTTGTTCATTATGACTAATCCCCGCCATTCAATGTTAATGACACTGCTAATATTGACTTGCATAACAGCACAAGACAGTAAAAGTAATATTGGAGAATTATAATAAAAGGTTCTCACTGTGCTATGCTCCTCTAAAAGCTAAAATGAATTTGTCCCATTGTGCCTTAGCATGAACTAAATTGATAATCAGCTGGCTGCTATCAGAGTAGGAACAGGTAGCATATGCGCTGTCCTCTTACCTATTATAATCAGCTCTCAACTCGATAAGGAAAATGATGATGAATACTAACACATGCAGCACTCGAACACCACGGTAACAAGAAGAACCCTGTCAGCGTGAGCTCCACCTTCCCAGCATGCGAGTGATGAACAAGTCCATTATAATCATCTCCATTCACAATAGGACACTTTGAACTCTCAACCACAGATAATTAAGCTGATTTAGTCACACTCGAAAAAGCTAAGTATGTACAGATGAGCACTTGAACATGATGGAACTAAATAATGTTTAATTCAATGATAAAAGAATAAGA